AGATCCCGTACATAAATTACCTGTACGTTTCGTACAGAAATCCCCCGTACATGTACTCTATGCAACGTAGGGATTACAGGGTGTGTGATTTTGGACTTCCCAAGTAGATCGTGAGTGATAAAGATGTTCGTTTCACCAGTGAAATGTGGAGGAAGGCAGTTGAACAGGTGGGCAATCAACTCCGAATTGCTTCAGGGAATCACCCTGAAGGCAATTTTCAAGCGGAGCCAATTAACCACGTGCTACAACATTTGCTTTGGCACTATATTAAGTCAAGTTAGGATGATTTGGATGAGAAACTCCCTCTCATCGCCAGCCTGTACAAGAATGCTACACATATCACCACGGGCGTGCTTCGAGTGAGTTTCTTTTACTTTGGAAGCCTAGATCAGCACTAGACTTGAACACCGACCAGCTGCTGCTACTGGCAACCTAGAGTTTGTTTTCCAGTGCAACAAACTGCTGCAGTAGGCTATTAAGCACATATGGAAAGTTCAAGGTACCATGATAGCACATGAAAACAAGTACAGAAGACAATCCACATTTCAGATAGGAAAACGAGTATGAGATAAGTCTAGTGAGTCGGGACAGGAAACCAAAATTTCTTGGAAACTAATGCGTTTATACTTTGGTCCTTGGGAAGTCTTTGATATAGTAGGGAATGATCCAGATCGTACCTCCTATGTCATCTGTATCCCTGGTTACATCACACTTACCCTGTATTTCACACCTCAAAGGTTGCATCTTTGTATTGAAACTGATCAATTTCCTTCAAGGACATCGATGTTGCCCCCAACCATGGATGACTACATGGACCTTGACGACATCGTTTATCATCGGGGCATGCCTATTCCAAGGCCAACTGGTCGAGGAAGACCGCCCAAACCTTCCAAGGAGTACCGGGTCAGATTCATGCATCACACATTTCCAAAGGAAGATCATTGGTTCACGAAGGAGGAGCTAATGAAGACAACACCTCATATTGTCTCCCATTACGAGCAAAGACGTAGAGGGAAAACTCAAGTTCATTAGCAACATCTCAGAGAACTTTTGGAGCTAAGGAGGAAGGAGTGGGACGAATATGGCCCCTCCCAAGGGTCGTATAGGTCTGTACCTAGGCCCCTCATGTTCACAGAGAGCACCAAGAGAGCACCAAGGCCACAAGGGTGGGTCTTCCTGAACCTGGCGGCCTTTTTTCAGCCGTTGAACCAGGCCTGGGCGGTGTGACTGTGTCCTTCCATTTTTGCCTGCATGAAACCTCTATGCAACATGTCACGTTGGGCCTCTCGGCCAATGAGAGTGTGCGGGTCTGCGTCAATGGTGTTGCATAATTATGCGACACTATTTGTTGGGCCCAAGCCCAAATCTGGTTCAGGGACCTGAGCGCAGCGGATGGTACCCAATACGGAGGAAGAGGGCACGCGCTAGGGCATACACTTTTCATAAAGGAAAGTGCTCGCAGCCAACCTAGACATTATGGTTGGCATGAGTTGCCTGAGCCCTGCCATTTTGTGAGTGGAGCAGGGTGCTGGGCAGACGTGACGCAGACGTGAGGGGTGAGCACGGATTGGTGCAGTGCCGCACGACAGCCATAGTCGGGCTGCACGTGCTCGGTGACCGGTGATGGTGATGAGAGGGTCCTAGGCGAGGAAAGGCGATTGTGGGGGTCGGGGCTGCTATAGCCAGGTTGCACGTGCCTGTGCGATATCTTCACGCATATGGGTCTGCCGCTGAAGTCTTCCGTTTGCGTCGCCATTGTAGATTGCTAGGTTAGATAGGTATTGTGTGATTGTGATGTGGACACTTGACAATGGACACCTTCGTTGATGGTGGTGAGGTCAGGGCTGGCATTGGCAATTGAGTTCCTTGTGTTGCTCTCATTTGGTGTGTACCTCATGCAATCTGTTTTCTGTACAATGCACAAATATATGGAATGCAATGTTATGATGCAATTTGGAATTTTGTTATTCACTATCGCTCATTTTCCTTGCAAATATATCTTAAAAATAAACTCAGATCTCTGGATTTTTGGAAGTCTGGGTTAAACAACTTAAACTGTCTAGACATTTGGATCCCGAAAACTTCGTAGTATAGAGAAAAAAACAAACGAGACCAGGGTTGGTTTGCGATCAGATTGGACAAAATAGTATATGATGTCATGGTAATACAGACCACCTATACTCTGCTTAGCTTCACATGAGAATGCATTGTGATGAGCTCTTTTTTGATAAGCGTCATCTTCTGCGCAACCGTGATTGGGGGTACATAGAGGGGATCGGGGATAAATTACATGACATTACCTCCTTCTTGTTTTTTTTTTCGACGTTTTCTTTTTGGTCCTTCGATAGAAGGGAGGCGGGGGTTATGAACTTCAGGGTAGTTGGTCCGCGCCTTAGTGAGCGCAGGGGAATAATGTCTGCTATCATGTCCTTTTTCTTTCTTTTCTTTCTTTTTTGACAGAAGTCCGTTTTTTTTGTGCGACAATCGTGCGGGGAATTCCTTTAGAATTTTTTAATTGGTGATGAGCCCGCTGTCGGCGCGAATACCGTTACAAGGGTATCCGCCCTGGTTTTAGCAAGTGACAGAAAAAGGGTTTTCGTTTTGAAAGTTAGGAACGCTGCGCGAGTCGCGACTGAATTTCCTTCTGTGACTAAGAATGTGAGACTGTTTGAAGGGAGTAGGAAGTGCGTGGGCGCGCAAGTTTGAGGCGTGCATGATCTTCTTCTTGATATTATAAGATCGGCACAGTTGCCGACCAACCATTCATTTTGATTTAATCAGGACTAAATTATTTTTTTCTCTTCATCGTCAAAATTATTTAATATGGCGCGTACGCAAGTACGGAGGCTGGCACACATAAAAGTTCGA